TCCATCGATAGGATGAGCAACGCACTGGCCAACAGGTTAGTCTCCAACCCCGTGGCTGGCCTCACACTACTTCCATTGATACGGTCAGCAAAATCGAATGGATCTTCCGCCCGAACAAGGAAATATACACTACTACACGTGTGTGTGTGTGTGTGTGTGTGTGTGTGTGTGTGTGTGTGTGTGTGTGAGAGAGAGAGAGAGAGAGAGAGAGAGAGAGAGAGAGAGAGAGAGAGAGAGAGAGAGAGAGAAGAAGAAGAAGAGGTACAACGATAAGCACACACAACAGGAGGACGACAGGCAGAGGGGCATGGAAGATGGGGAGTGACACTCACCTTTGTGACGCAATTGAAGGAGGTCGGAGGCGGCACGTGACGAACCATCTCCAACAAGGTGGATTGCAGCAGGGAGGGTTGCGTGGATTGCAGCATTTTTTTTTTTGGTGGTGGTGCCAAAACACGCGAGTTTGACTTCGAACCGGTCGCGCCTCCCTGCTCATAGGCATCTCACAAAGATGCATCCCTGACTAAAGGGCATAGCAGACAGCCAACACGGAAATGGGACCGGCAGTCCGGTGAGGGCATCCCCAAAAGTTGCAACCCTCGCTGACTGGGGGGTGCGGGAAACTTCAGAGGCCCCAGGGGCACGCCAGAGTAAGTCGCCCGTCGGAGGGGCATGCCACACACAAATGGATTTCGGAGGGGCATTTCAAAAATTTCTCCAGAAAGAGTCGTAGTTTTTTACTCATCTGTTCCCACTATTCCACTCATCTGCTTCCAAGCTCGAACTCTGGTTAATATTTCAGCAGCTCAAGGATGTACCAACTGAGCTAGGGCAGTTGGGGAAGGTTTTTTCTTTATTTTTTTTCTTTTCGTTTTTTGAGAAAACTCAATTCATATTCATATATCGGGAAGTTTTTTTCTCTGCTTCTGCAGACGAAGGCATGAAGTGGAGACTCATGTGGCTGAACGGTGCAGACACCTGCCTGCTGATGACACACGATCGTGAGTTCGAAACCTACTGGGTTAGACAGACGCGATAACGTTCGATGCCAGCCGAGCGGAATCGAGGTTAACTTCGTCCACGTCTTTTGCGTCCCTCCACCACAATAGAATGTCTTTAATCGCTGAAGGAAAGAAAAGGCAGGAAAACTGTCAAAAAAAAAAAAGAAAAAAAAAGGCAGGAAAAAAACCGACCTTCGCCAGCAGTCCACTGTGGCCGTACATGTGCCGCTGATCTACGGTCCGCAGCGAAGTGTGGGCGATTCGGTATCGTCGCCAGTTTTTCTGTGTTTTTTTTCGAATTTCATTTGCCCTTTTGAAGTGTTGCTGCACGGTTCTCTTTGGTTCGCTGAAGTTTCCCTGCACATCGGTTCTGGATGGTATTTTCTCGTTTGCCCCTGACGCTCTCATTTTTCCCCTGTCGGCCCTTGCGACGGGAGCGAAGTGCCCAGCGCCCATCGCCTACCCGGGATCGAAGCTTCCAGACCCACATCGTCACACCTGGACCAAGACTTGCCTAATTGGGAAACGACTTTCCATTGATGGCAAGGCTTAAACGAAATCAAATTTCGTCATTCCACCCTGAATTTGTCATTTCGTCCTGTTATGTCCCTTCAGATCACTTGACATTCCAATTTTGCCCTTGTCCTTGTCCCTGTGGGGGGAGGCGCGGGAATTTTGACGGGGTCGTCCGCCAGTCAGGTCCGCTCTGTCAGGCTGTGAATCGCCCGCCAGTCGGCGTGACGCCGCTGCAAAATGCATCCTCACTCAATGGAAGCATCTGGACGTCGTGCTGGCTGATATGCATTCGGACCGATCCAATGTTTTTGTTTTGAATTTGGAAACTACCTGGACGACTGTCGGATCCAGATACATGTTTTTTCATGGCCCTCGGGAGCGTGGCCCATTGCTGTGGCAACCTTTTTTTTCCCCCTTTCTCTTTCTTCCGGCAACTTCCGCGCAGCGACTTCTGCGCAGCCGACGTGGAGTTGAGCGGATGCGGACGCGTAAACAGGCCGACAGAGTTTCGAGGAGGCGCGGTCCGGTGGGGAAAGAAGGCCAGCGGGGGGGGTGGGGCGGGGCGCGTGAGGCCGTAGGGGTATATATCAAGGGAGGGGCAAGTTGGTATCTAATTTGTCTGCCTCCCCGGCCCTTCCCCCTTCCCGCCCTCCGGCCCTTTTCGTCCTCCGCCCCTCCCCGCCTACTCGCCTGTTCCCCGCCACCTTAGCAACCTTGCAATTACAACGGTTGTCCGCGGGTTGCGGTTTGGGGCCCGCGCAGTCCCTTCGCCATCTTCCAGATCGTCCGTCCGGTTGTCTGCGGGCGCGGCAAGGGTAAACCAGTCCAATCAGCGCCTCCTTGTGCTGTCCGTGTGTCTGCGGGCGGGGTGGCTTACAGTGTCGGTGCGGAACCACAGCGCGAGCGAGAGTGGGCGCGTGGTAGCTCTACTACTGCGGTAGTGGTACTTGGGACCGCGCGGCGCGACGAGACGAGACGAGACGCGACGCGACGCGACGCGACGCGACGAGACCCGACGCGACGCGCCATTGAATGGGACCCCACAACAGGTGAGGGGGGCGAAAGACGGGACGGCTCGGTATTTTCTCCTGCTACAACTACATTCGCAGCTTGTCTTTTTCCCCGAGGGGAGTCTGTCCGCTTCGGGTTCTCCCTCCCGCCCACCTCCCGCCCACCGCCCACTGCTTCTGGCTGTGGACGCCTCCACGCGTCGCGCTGCGCTGCGGTTCACGCGGACAATCAATCTCGTGTCTGCTCGAGCTGTGGAGTGACTAGCGCGAGCTGCGCATCTGTCTCCGCTTTTAGGTTTCATCTCCAGTCCTATGTTGGTGATGTTCCCTGCCTCAATCTGGTTCTGATTTACTTGTTGGCGCGCTCTTCATTTCTCTCGGGCATCATCGTATCATCCGTCGTTGTCGGACATCGGCGGGCGCGGCTCGTGTACGAAAGCGACGAGGAGAGGAGAGGAGAGGAGAGGAGAGGGAAAGCCGCGCTCCCGTAAGCAGCACTGTCAAGCAACCGTAACAGCGAGAGGAGAGAGTTGGCGGCCACGAGGAGTGAAGAACGGTAGGAAATAGACAGATTGGAACGTCACCTGGGTTTACAGCCGTTGCAGTGTGGTAGAAGAGAAGAGAAGAACAGGAGGAAGAAGTAGAAGAAGAAGAAGATGGCGGCAGGTCCCTCTGAGGAGAGCGGGGCAAAGGGGGGAGGAGGAGGAGGAGGAGGAGGAGGAGGAGTAGCAGGCGGTGCTAGCACTCCGGCAAAGAAGGACTTCAGCACGGCAATTTTGGAGAGAAAGAAGTCTCCCAATCGGTTGATTGTCGACGAAGCTGTCAACGACGACAACTCGGTCGTGTCTCTGCATCTGAAGACGATGGAGGAGCTCCAGCTGTTTCGCGGGGACACGGTTTTGATCAAAGGTAAGAAGCGCAAGGACACAGTATGTATTGTGCTGGCGGACGATACAGTGGAGGAACCTAAGATTAGGATGAACAAGGTAGTGCGGCACAACCTGCGTGTGCGTCTGGGCGACGTGGTGTCGGTCCATCAGTGTCCCGATGTGAAATACGGGAAAAGAATCCACGTCCTGCCCATCGACGACACCATCGAGGGTGTGACGGGCAACCTGTTCGACGCTTATCTGAAGCCCTACTTTTTGGAGGCGTACAGACCTGTGAGGAAGGGCGATCTGTTCCTCGTGAGAGGAGGGATGAGGAGTGTGGAGTTCAAGGTGGTGGAGACGGATCCCGCGGAGTACTGTATTGTGGCGCCGGATACGGAGATCTTCTGCGAGGGGGAGCCAATTCAGAGGGAGGAGGAGGAGAAGCTCGACGACGTGGGCTATGACGATGTCGGAGGGGTAAGGAAGCAAATGGCGCAGATTCGTGAGCTTGTGGAGTTGCCCCTGCGCCACCCGCAGCTGTTCAAGTCGATTGGTGTGAAGCCGCCAAAGGGCATTTTGTTGTTCGGCCCGCCTGGGTCGGGCAAAACGCTGATTGCCAGGGCAGTAGCGAACGAGACGGGCGCCTTCTTCTTCCTGATCAACGGCCCGGAGATCATGTCGAAATTGGCGGGAGAGAGCGAGAGTAATCTGAGGAAAGCGTTCGAGGAGGCGGAGAAGAACGCGCCCGCCATCATCTTCATCGACGAGATTGACTCCATCGCTCCGAAGCGAGAGAAGACGCAGGGCGAGGTGGAGAGGAGAATCGTCTCCCAGCTTCTGACCTTGATGGACGGTCTCAAAACCCGCGCCCACGTCATCGTTATCGGCGCCACCAACAGACCGAACAGCATAGACCCGGCGTTGAGGCGTTTTGGGAGATTCGACAGGGAGATCGACATAGGTGTGCCCGACGAAGTGGGGCGGCTGGAGGTGCTTCGCATTCACACGAAGAACATGAAATTGTCGGAAGACGTCGATTTGGAGAGGATTGCCAGAGACACGCACGGGTTTGTTGGCGCTGATCTGGCCGCTCTGTGCACCGAGGCCGCGCTTCAATGCATTCGTGAGAAGATGGACGTCATCGATCTCGAAGACGACACGATCGACGCGGAGGTCCTCAGCTCCATGGCCGTGTCCAATGAGCATTTCCAGACCGCGTTGTCGACGAGCAATCCTTCTGCTCTGCGGGAAACCGTCGTCGAAGTGCCGAACGTGACCTGGGATGATATCGGCGGTCTGGAGAGCGTGAAGAGGGAACTTCAAGAGGTGGTCCAGTACCCAGTCGAGCATCCGGATAAGTTTGAGAAATTTGGTATGTCGCCGTCGAAGGGGGTCTTGTTTTACGGTCCCCCTGGGTGCGGAAAGACGTTGCTGGCGAAGGCCATAGCCAACGAGTGTCAGGCCAACTTCATCAGCGTGAAGGGGCCGGAGTTGTTGACCATGTGGTTCGGTGAGAGCGAGGCCAACGTGAGAGATGTCTTTGACAAGGCGCGGCAGTCGGCTCCCTGTGTGCTGTTCTTCGACGAGTTGGACTCCATAGCCACGCAGAGAGGCAGCAGCCACGGAGACGCAGGCGGCGCCGCGGACAGAGTGCTGAATCAGCTGCTGACGGAGATGGACGGCATGAACGCGAAGAAGACGGTCTTCATCATCGGAGCGACGAATCGGCCAGACATCATAGACCCAGCGTTGCTGCGTCCTGGGCGTCTCGATCAGCTCATCTATATCCCGCTCCCCGACGAGGCGTCGCGGCTGAACATTTTCAGGGCTGTGCTTAGGAAATCGCCCATCTCGAAGGACGTGGACCTGGAAGCATTGGCACGATACACGCAGGGGTTCAGTGGCGCGGACATCACAGAAATATGCCAGCGAGCCTGCAAGTACGCGATCCGAGAGACAATCGAAAAGGAGATTGAGCGAGAGAAGCGGAGGGCAGAGAACCCCGACTCCATGGACGAAGATATGGCGGAAGAGAAGTATGAAATCAAGCCTGGGCACTTCGAAGAAGCGATGAAGTTCGCCCGCCGGAGTGTCAGCGATGCTGATATCCGTAAGTATGCGGCTTTCTCGCAGACGCTGCAGCAGTCGCGGGGCTTTGGGACCGAGTTCCGATTCCCAGATCGTCCCGCGGCGGCGCCGGGACTGGCGAATGATCATGCGGCGTTCAATACCGCCGGCGGAGATGACGATGACCTCTACAATTGATGAAAAATGAATGCTGTGAAAGCAGTGAAGGGTCAGCAGCAGGAGTTAGGGTAAACAGAAGAAGAAGATGGACAGCAGATTCTATCTAGGGAGAGTAGACTAGAGAGAGAGAGAGAGAGAGAGAGAGAGAGAGAGAGAGAGAGAGAGAGTGGGTGCGGGTGGAGAGGAGAGGCGACAGCAGCAGGCCGTTAAGTTTTCTGTGCGCCCAGCGACGCTGTTGTTTGTTCTATTCAGGTTCCACCATTCTCTACGTGGACTTATCGCAGCAGCTTTGGAAGATGGCAGCTGGCGAAAGGAGAACACGAGAGGGAGGAGTAGCTATTGCCGAAATGGTCGTAGGGTTGTGCGATGTGCGTCTTTTCTGTGTCCGTGTCCCTCCGATGATGCGGGTGTGCGTCGTTGGGAGAGAGAGAGCGAGAGAGTGGGGAGGAAAGTCACTAATTAGGAGTCTTGGGCGAATGGCACGGACGAGGAGGACGAGGAGAGGTGATGAGGGGAAAGGTGATGACAAATTTCTGTGCGCCGTGGCGGCGGGATGTAAAAGCTGCACGTGGAAGAGGAAGAGAAGGGCGTCGTCCTTCTTGTGGCGCTGTGCCATGTCTTGTGCTTGTGAAATCGATGGGAGACGTAGGTACGTTTCTACCGGCGGTGACTTTCCGCGTCAGCAGCGTTTTCACTTCGGCGGCTCGATATTGATGATGGAGAACGGGAGAGATGGAGGCGGGCCGAATCCTGCCAGATGGAAAGACTGCTCTTGCGACCAGGGGGTGGGAAAGGAAGAGGATTGGGAGCGCGCGGGAAATTCTTGTACTTAGTGGCTATGGGAGCAGGGTGTGGTTTTGGGAGAGTTTTGAGTATGACCTTTGAGAATGCCGGTCGCCTGTCAACCGGGATAAAGACTAGGCGACGTGGACGATGCGAGGAGACGTGGAGGGAAAGACAGATGGCGGCAGGAAGGCTGCAGCAGGGTGGCGGCGGCGGTTATGGAGAGCAAGGGAGGGAATATGCCATCAGGATGATGGGTTTCCATCTCCCACGCCGTTGCCTGAGGGTACCTCGCACGCCGCCGCTGTCTTTAAGGAGAAATTCGATAAGCCATCTTAGTGTCCTGTGGCCGTAGAGGTGTTTCTCTAGTGGGACAAGTGGGAGAGTCGAGAGCGGAGAGTCGAGAGACTAGTCGAGGTCGCCGGCATATGATGATGTACTGCTCTGCTCATTTCCTGATGACGGACTTTTTATGTGCGGAGGGAGAGATATTTCTGCCGTTTCGAAAGGTGGGAGGGAGAGATTTCTACCGTTTCGAAAGGGCAGTAGAGGTATTGGCGGGGGATATGATGAGACGTGGGCAAATGAAATGTGTGATGTGGAGGTGAACTGACCTTTGAAAGATAAAGAGAAATGAGAAAAAAATAGGGTTGGCCCACCATGTAGTAGAGACGAAGCGGCTGGCTGGCAAGGGAGCCTTGTGACGAACGAAGAGCTATTCTTCTTGCGGGATAGTTGTGGGACTGCCATGCTTCTGACTAGGTCTAGTGTTGCTTGCAACAATCGAGGGTTATTCTTTTTTCCTTCCCCGCTCTTTCTCTTCTCTCCGTTCTCATTCTCTACTCCCCTCCTTTCCCTCCTCCCTCCTCCCGTCTTCCTGCCTCCTCCCTTCTTCCTCCCTCCTCCCTTCTTCCTCCCGGCCCCCCCCCACTCTCCCTTGTTCTTCCGCTTGTGATCTCCCCATTCTCTACTCCCCTCCTTTCCCGCCTCTCCTCCCTTTTTCCTCCCCGCTCCCTTCTTCCTCCCGCCCCCCGCACCCCCCAACTCTCCCTTGTTCTTTCTTCCGCTTGTGATCCCCTTTTCTGTTCCTCTCCTCTCTTGAAACTATTACATGTTCTCTCTCTCTCTAATTCAGCATTGTTGCGCGTTGGAGGAATAATGGTGGTTGTTATGGCAACACGTTTCTATTTCCAGTGATGATTTGGGAAAACTTTTGTATTTCCAGTGATGATTTGGGAGAAGTTCGACCGTTGGTTTCGTTTTGAACGGCAAGCAAACGAGCGAGGGAGGGAGGGAGGAAGGGAGGGAGGGAGGGAGGGAGGGAGCATGCGTTCGTGGGTGCGTCTTGTGTTTGTTATTTGATTTGCTGGTGGAATGGTGGAAAAGACCTTTTGTATATCTCATCGGAGCAGCTCAGGAGGAAACACTAGAAAAGTAGTGTGGGAGTACGCGAAAAAAAGGAAAGGAAAAAGATCGTATCGAAACGTACGACGCGCTGAGGCAACTGATGATTTGCCCACGTGCGCGGTTAAAACTCCAACAACAAAGAAAGTGAAAGTCCACTGGCTGACTGCCGGGCTGCGCGGAAGAGAGAGGGAAGGGGATCCCCGTAAGACAGAAGCAGGCGACGAAAAAAAAAACGAAGAGGTGGTTGTAAGAGCGTGTTCGTTCACACGACAAAGCAAAGCGGTTGAGATGTATAATTAATTTACCAAATTATTTACAACACGTGTCGTTGCACACAACCGAACACGTTCTCCCAAGTATGCGGAGGAGGCTTCAGCAGAGCAGAGCTTGCGTGTTAGAGAGAGAAGAGAGAGGAGAGGGTAAGGGCAAAGACGACGTGAGCCACAACATTCCTCTCTTTCCCTGCTGCTGCTGCCCTCTCTCTCTTTTCCTGACGTCTCCGCCTGTCTTTCCCTGCCACCGTGACTTTCTCCTCCCCCTGCTCCCTGTGATCTCTTAGTGTCGCCCTGCGCTCTGTTAGTGACGGTGTCTTTCTCCCCCTCCTCCCTGCGCTCTCTCATTGACGCCCAGATGCGCTCTGTGAGTGACGCTGTTGATCATTCTGTCTAGCGTATCCTCCCCCTCCCCTTGTCACCCTCTCCCTTCACCGCCTCTCTTTTCTTAGGCTTTCTTCCCACGGCAGCCCCCTCTGCCGTCTTTTCCTGCCCACGATCCTCGCCTAGACTTTGTCCCCGCGCCCTGGTCTCTGTTACTACCCTCTTCACCCGAATATAACGCCCGGTCATTGTAGCCGTATTTGGGGCATTTTTCAGTCCAGATGCATCGATAATGACCGGGCGTTCTATTCGGGTGAAGACGGTAGTGCTTTTGATTAGTAGCATTGCGTCTCTTTTGTCTTCCGGTCATCTAGTCGCACCTGCCGCCTTTTACGCTTACCTGCCGGCCGCGATTCCCTACGCGGCTATGGTTTTATCCCTGGTACCCTCCTTCCCTCTCCTCCCTTTCCTGCATGTCTCCTCTCTCTTCCCGCTTGCCGCTGTGTCTGTCCCCTTGCTACCTGCTCTCTGTCGGTTGCACTTGTGATCAGTCTGGCGCCTTCGTTGTCGACTTCCCGTGTTTAACAGTCTTTGCTCAGCAGCGTGAGCAGAGACCTGTTCTGCTTTTTTTTTCTAGAGTGTCGATCGGGGTCTGCAACCAGCTGCGATCCCTTCGTCTGCCGGAACTTAGCGACCCCACCCCAGTCGACGTGCCGTCATCTTGCTCTACCGGTCGCCCGTACCGGACGACGTGCCGTCATCTCGTTCTACCGGTCGCCCGTACCGTATGCCGATGTGTCGTGTCACACACTGCTCTCTGCCGCACGCGCAGGGTTTCCTCTTCTTTTGTGGCCTTCTGTTCACGATGATTGTGTGTGCGACGTACACACAATGGGAGGGCGAACTCATTGGCATTTTTAGGTTATCTGTCAACAAGTGAGCAGGTGGAGGGAACGGGAGGGAGGCAGGGAGGGAGGCAGGGAGGAAGGAAAGAGAGAGGGAGGTCCTTTCGTGAGCGGTAATGAGGATCTTATGGCAGTATACGATGGAATATGTAAGTGGTATTGGTGGTTGCGTTGTGTTTATATGCGGGGGGGGCTTTAGGGCATACTCACACCAGGACGTTTTCTCAGCTCTGGACGCGATTGCAGGCCAGGTGCATCTGAGCAGCCGTACTTGGGGGGTCAGATATATTTAGGAAAGCGCTAGTGTGAACATGCCCTTAGTGTCTCTCAGAAAACGCGATCTGCAGAGGAAGGTATGTCCCGCTAAGGTGCGCTAGCCTTGGCCATTTTCAGATGAGAGGAGAACTGGCCGGCTATAATAAGGAAAAGGCGATGGCGATGATGCGAGGTCCCTTTGATGTTGTTGTTAATCTCCACGTGAGGCAAGAACCACCGAGATAGTGACCTCCCTCCACTGCACGGCATTGTAATTGAGTAGAATTTGGTAGTAATGGTCTCATCACATTCGGTGTTCAATCAGTCCGAGCGCACGTGGTCGCCAGAGTAGTCGTGCTACTTGTCGAACGATGACTAGTGGAGTGAGGCCCTTAGTCGTTGGGAGACGACGACGTCTTCCCTCACAAAATTGTTGAGAGACGACCACGTGGTCTCTATTTCCTCTTATCCCTCGCTTTCCCCTCCGACCACGTGGTCTCTCTTTCCTCTTATCCCTCGCTTCCCTTTCCGCTCCTCACAAAATTGTTGAGAGACGACCACGTGGTCTCTCTTTCCTCCCCGCCCCTCTCTCCCCCGGTCCTCCACACTGTTAGCGAGGGTTGCTCGCCCTTCTTTAGATGTTGCCTTATCTTTGTTTTGAAGTACTGATGGCACTCAGCCAGGGAGCCCTAGCGAGGTTTCAATCTCTTCTCCAGCAGATTTATTGCATACACACGCGCACGGGTACGCTCACAGGGACACGCAGACGGACGTGTATACACAGTTCGTGCGTGCTTTTTCTGTGCAAGTGGGCGTGTAGGGAGACGGATGGGTACTCTCCGCACAGCCAGACAGACGTGGAGTACCGTTGCAGGTGAAGTTTCTTCCGGTTGTTGCAGGGATATGAATTGATGTTCGGTACTTGGTGCACGACACTGTCAAAACCATACACGCAGAGGCTAGTAAAAGTCCAACGACACCTAGCTCGTTAGTGCTTTTTCGGAACTGAGTCACACACACACACACACACACACACACACACACAGAGGTTAGTAGAAGTCGAACGAAACTTTACACGTAGGTGCTTTTTCGGAGCTGAGTTACACACACACACACACACACAGCGCGCGCGCGCGCGAGAGAGAGAGAGAGAGAGAGAGAGAGAGAGAGAGAGAGAGAGAGAGAGAGAGAGAGAGAGAGAGGTAGAGGTTAGTAGAAGTCCAACGAAACTTTATGCATTGGTGCTTTTTCGGAGCTGGGTTACACACACACACACACACAACTTTATGCATTGGTGCTTTTTCGGAGCTGGGTTACACACANTGCATTGGTGCTTTTTCGGAGCTGGGTTACACACACACACACAACTTTATGCATTGGTGCTTTTTCGGAGCTGGGTTACACACACACACACACACCAGAGAGAGAGAGAGAAAGAGGTGGGGGGTGGTTGGTAAAAGTCCGATGAAACCTAACACGTTAGGGCTTTTGCGGAGCTGGCTAACACACACACACAGATGTGAGAGAGTAGTGGTCGTAAACGTGACACACATACACACAGAGGAGGGGGGGAGAGAGAGAGAGAGAGAGAGAGAGAGAGAGAGAGAGAGAGAAGCCATAGTCGTGACAATCTCTTCTCAATCGGGGTTTCTAGTGTAAGCAGGTGTGGTGTACTGTTTTGGTGCTTGAAAGTCTTAACTCTTATCCTCACCGTCCTGGCATAAGTATTCCCCCCTCCCCGCCCCCTTTTTGGTGCTACTGAGTTTATGGCATCTGCTCCTCTCTCAAATGCTGTGTGTGCTTCCGTATTGTCTTGCAGCTGACTCCATGCTCTGATTATTCCAGAGGAACCAATAGCGGGTTCTTGAGCAAGCTTTCCTTGGTGTGCTGATGCATGGCTTTGTGCCTTCCGGTAGTTGTGTATAATTCGCATGGAATTAGCACAGCCAAAAATTCAAATTCTTGGTGGAAATCATCACTTAATATTGCGTGAATAACAGTTTACGTGTTCTTAATTATCTGTGCACCGCTGTGCTCGATGTCTGCAACCACTCTCTTTCTCTTTTTTTTTCTCTCTCTCTCTCTCTCTCTCTCTCTCTTAATTAGCTGTGCACCAGTGCGACAATGTGGTGAATATCTAGAAGCTCCAAGATCGTAGTCACCGCCTTGTCCGTGAATCCCGTGTCGTAACCATTCAGCAACGAAGTAGAAAGCTGAGGGCATCCTTTAGCTATGGCGATGAGGAAATCATCTGCCTCAAAATAAAGTGCACTTCAGGGGTAAGAAGAGCCGATGACCTGGTGAAGTCCTCAACATCCAAAACACAGAGTCCAGATAGAAATCCTTTGCAAACCATCGAACCGGCAACAGATTAATTGCGCAACAGATCGGTCAAAATTTAACTCCTGCAGCTGCCGGCAACGACTGCCTACTTCCCCCAAGTAAAGGTGCCAGTAGCTTGTCCGTAAGTAAATCTTCTCGAAGGCTGTTAAGGAGTCCACTAAAATATAATTCTTCACGAAATTGAAGATCAATTTCTGACAAGCTGCTTGTAGAGTGTAGATGGCTGCGTGCCATGCGGCAAGAGAACCCAAAGGAAAAAGTGAAAACAGCGAGGGGGAAATCAATCTTTGCTTCGACATTGTGTTTCGGAGGTCCGATTGTAGTCTCCTGTGTTCCTATGTCTCGCGTGCACCACTTTGGACTCCGTCCTTGGCTGTTCACTCCACTTTTGTACCTCGGCCACCCTTTCTGCCCTTTGTGACCGTTCTGCCCGAGGCATGCTGTCTCCACTGGCATCGTCTGTTAGTCGCATCTGCACCGGCATCCTCTTCCTCTGTCACACGACCTCGCTCTACTGTGCCATTCCGTTTGCCTTCTAACCTGCTGTTCACCTATGGCTGACTTGCTCCTAGTACCTTGTTTATGTCTGTTTCTTTCACTATATCGTATCTCCATCGGCGACCCGGTCCTCGTGGTTCTCCGCATCACACTACCGTCTTTCCCTAACGTAAGGCGACCTGATTATGAATTGTACAAAAGTTACCTTTCCAGTCCCATATAATACTGTCAAAATGCGGACGCCTTGTGATCGGGGGAGGAGTGATTGTAGTCTTCACCACCTTATTCACGCCTTGTGATTGGGGGAGGACTGATCGTAGTCTTCACCACCTTATCCACGCTGCTTGATGTCTTTGTGGTCCCTTCTGAACCCACCCTTCGATGTCCTGTCTTTCGCTTGCCGACATGCTGTCTCTTTTGCGTGGGTGCTGAAGGACACACTTGTTCTTTCCCGACATGCTGTCTGTTTTGCATATTGCCTTCGTTTGGAGGTTAAAACCACCAGTACCTCACACGTTTTTAGGCCGTTAACGCGGTGGTGGCTGAATTGGTGCGCCGTGCAGGTCCATATGCATTTGCCTCAGAGCCTCCCCAGAGGGGGCTTAAGACTCCCCCCTGGGGTACTGGTGGTTTAAACCATGTGTATCCCTTCTGAACGGACCCTTTGATTTTCTCTCTTTGCGTGGGTGTTGAACTGTGCACTTGTTTTTTCTCCCCTTCACGTTGCCTCGGCTTTTGGGAGTGTCAGCCACGTTTGAAGTCACCCTATGTCTCTAAAGTTACTCTACCACCCTGGGTACTTTCTGTGTCTGGCAGGGAATCCTGCGGTACACAGCCAATATGGCTTTGTTTAGCTGCATCTCTCATTGCCGCCTCTGCTTGATTGTTAGCATTACTCTACCCTTACCAGCCCGACTCAGGTCCTCTTCCTACCTCTCCTCCCACTGCCTCTGCTCTCGTCCAAGATCCGACCCCGTGTCAGAGTGGCCCCGCAATGCCCGGCTCCGCGGACAACCACATCCTAGCTTCCGCTTCCTACCTCTCCTCCCTTGTGCTCTCGTTCACAGTTGTACTTGGTGTCAGAGTGCCCCCTTGATGCTCACGCTCGATACCAGCTGCATGAGGTCACCTCCTGTTGGATGTGCCTTACATGTCGTGTCGGTGAGGAGGTTGGTACCTACCCAGAAGTGTGGAGCATGAGCATCTAGAACATTACAAAAGCGGCTGTTTCACATAAGATGTGTGGCATGGACGCCTTGGAAATTGGTGAAGCTTAGCTGGAGATATGACTGTGGCATGAGGACCACGCCTGTGATGTACCATCACAAATTGGGCGCGAGCATGACAACGAGGAATGTCCACCAACTCCCTCTGATCACAACTGTCCACAGTGTCTTCAGTTTCGTGGACTTCTCCCAAGCGGTCTTCAAGGTCTCTGTGAATACCGGCAACTTCCCCCCCCCCCCAACAAAGGCTGGAGTCGGAGGACTGGGATGTGCTGTGGACTACCAGCAGCTGACGGATGCCTGCCTGCAATGTTGCTATCGTGACCTTTTTATGACTTCGTTTTCTTGACATTCCCATTTCAACCTGATGCCTCGAAAACGGCATCTGGTTGATTAGGACAATCGATCCGATGTCACACATTCATTTGGGAGTGTTGTGCTAATTGTGATATTATGATGCAGGCCTGTTTTTCTGGCTAATGACTGTAGGACAATGAGTCTATGCGTTCTGCAGTTTGAAACTGAATTTTTGTTATTGGATTTTGCAAGTATGAAATTAGCTTGACTGTCTGCAATTTCACCGTGAGCCCACGTAGCTCAGGTGGTAGAGCATTCCCGCGATACTAAGTGCAACGAAGTTGCCTCTAAACAAACAAACAAACAAACAAACAAACAAAGTTGCCTCTACCAAGAAAATCCGGGAACACCTTCAACTTTTTTGTCCGTGTGCTTGCACTGATGAATTGCCAAATTTTGAGATGCGTCACGCGTTTTGCTAGGATGAGAGGCTTGTTATTGTCACACTGTGAATCAGAGCGCGAATGCGAAAAAAAGCAAAACAAGGAAAGGAAAAGTAGGGCAGGAAAGCCCCACCTGTCACACAGCAGAGAGCGGGCAGAATATGGTCTCCTCTTCTAGCTTTCTAAGCACTGGGGGGTACATATGGGGCGGCGAGTATGCCTCGGGCCATTGTCTGCACAGACGACTTTCTACTTATGACATTGTATTCGGCATAATAGACAAACTCTTGTACCTTCACAGCATACAGCCGGCAGAGTATGCTTTCCCTTTCAGTGGATTCACCGGGATAGCGACTCTCGGTTGTGAAAGCAGAGTCTATGCCAGTCATCGCTATGATGTGATGACTTTGGAAGAAAGGCTGAGAGCAGTCCTACTTTTCGTTGGAACGTCCTCTATGCCTAGACAGTATGCCTGTTCCCTGGTAAATTGCTAATGATGATATTCGGTGAGTCGATATGCTTTCCTGTGACAAAGGCCTCTCTTCTTACCCTTTCATGATGTACCATCAGCTGGGTCCCCTCCCCCTCCCCCCCCCCCCCAACAACCCCCCCCTTGAAAGGTGACTGTTTTGTCACTCTCTCCTTATCCTGCAATGGTCCAGCCTCTGTGTAGTACCCCGTACGTCGTAGGGGGGTTCCACGAATGGCCCGTCTGACGGGCATCGGCATTTTGGGGAGAATAATATGCTAAAGAAGAGAAAAAATGGGGTTGTAGAGCAGACAAAGGTCTATAAGACCCCACCTTTTTTTTTTTGTGGGTCCTTTCTTCGATTAAAAAAATATTAAAATGTGCTATAAAAAAAAAAAGAAAAAAAAAAAGAGAAATTGATCGATTGATTGGTTGATTGATTGACTGTTGATTGGTGGTAGATTTGATTGATTGATTGATGCAAGAAAAAAAGGGAGAAAAAAGAACGCGTGCTGATGTGTGGCTGTGTGAGGGAGTGCACGGTCCCTTCGTCTCTCTGCCTCTCTCTGCGTGTGTGTGTGTGTGTGCGCGCGCGCGTATGTGTTTCGAGGGTGTGTGCATGTAGGCATGCCTTGGCATGAATGCTATGCCAGGCAAATTCTGCAACGCTGAAAAGGGTCGGTACACTGTGGTCACTTGTAGCAGGCGTAGTGTACCATACCAACGCCACGGCTCGTGCAAACTCGACAGGGCGTGGCCATACCATCTAGTGTGCTTCATGAAACCGAGCCGAGCGGTCCCCCTATGAATGCCACGTAGGATGCTCTCTCCTCTCCCTCTCTCTCTTTCTCTCTCATGCCTGGCAATCTGCCCTGACCTTGTGACCACTTCCGGCCCCAAACCTGCACCCTCCCGACGCCACGTTGGATGCTCTCTCTCTCTTTCTCTTGCGATAATGTCCCGATAGTGTTCGGGTGTCACATGCTCTGAGTTGCATGGGTCTCTCTCTCTCTCTCTCTCAACAGTGTTTGCGTGTCACCTGCTCTGAGTTGCGTGGGTCTCTCTCTCTCTCTCTCTCTCTTTTGCTATGATAGCGGTCTTGTGTCACATACCAACGTTAATGTGACCCGTGCAACTCAGAGCAGTTCTGCCATACACCCTCAAAATGAACACCACCCGCCAACTGAGCCGAAACTTCGGTGGGCCTGTTTCCAAGCCGCATTCACACCCGCGCCCCACCTGTGGAAAAAAATAAAAAACTGCCAAAAAGAAAATGCAAAAAAGTGCACTTGGCTCACAGCCGGCCACCCGGGAAACGGGTCTTGTGCAGGACGTGTTACGCGAGACCCGCTGTTTGGAGATGCCGGGAACCAGTGCATGAAATAATAGCAATGTCTGGAACCAGTGCATATCAAATAGTACATTGGATGTCCTGTCTCACATGATTGAATCTTCAAGCCAGTGAATTATCAAAGAAAGGAGCAAGAGGGGAGAATAGACAATGAGGAGAGAGAGGAGAATTACAAATAGACAATGAGGAGAGAGAGGAGAATTACAAGAATAATCAATAGTACAAGTATGCCGCTCTCCCTCTCCTCCTTCGGGCATCACCCTCAGCGCCACCTCAGCAGGACTCCCTCAATCTGTCATGGGGCTGATGACGTCTCTGTGCAACATCTAGCAGGGTGCACAACCTCCCTTTCCTCCAGCCTATGGAGGTTGGCAAGTCGCTTCCTCTGTCAACGTGAAGAACAGCAACAGTGTGACCACATCAACAACAGGTAGGACAAGGTAAGCTTCCTTTCCACCTTCTCCTCTTCCAGTCCAACAGCCTGATCCCTTCACCACATCGCCATACGACAGAGGTATCTAAGCTGGCAGCTATGGCCGCCCACTCTTGCTCTCTCTTTGCAACACCTGGGCTGGTGCCCTCCCTTGAACCCTGGCGCCAGCAGCCTCTCGCTGTAGCCTCGCGTGCCGCAGCTTGGCCGCATGCCAAATGCAAGGCAGACTGATCTCCACAGTGGCCGGCTCAACTCTATACAGCGTTGACTCACGTTGACCAGCCTCCAGTCTCCTTGAGTCAACGGCCAAGATTATCTGAAAGTCGATGGCCTGGATGCAACGCTGTCCCATGCTTTCCGTGTCCCACTTGGACCGGAATTTCTGGATCTTTGCAGACAGCCTTTGAGATGCATCTGATCGACGGTCGTGGTGGAGTCCTACGAGTCGACTTTGACTTTGGGCCTGTATTCCCATGTTGAGCTTTTTTTTTATTATTATTATTATTTTTTAATTTTTTTTTAATGGGAACAAGGCTTCACTCTTGACTTTTCAGTTGTCAACTGTCTGGTGTGGGGGTACTGGACACTGTTTTTGTTTTGGACTTGGGGCTCCGTACCCCTTGGCTCTTGGGACTGTCTCAGACATTTAAGGCCTCAGGATGCGACTTTTGACCCGTCATTCTGAGAGGTGGTTAATGGAAGGCCCAAAATTCGGCGAATTTTGGCGAATTTTATAGTGCTCTTGAGTTTGATTTTTTCGTTTTTTTTTTGCCTGATTGGTTTTTTGATGTTTGTATTATGACCCTGCATAGTTTGTTCGCAAAAGTTTCGACAACATTGCTTGTAGCGATGCGGCGAAAAACCCCGAATTTTTTGTCTTCCATTAACCGCTAGTGGTCATTCTGGCCTTTGACTAAAAGCGTCGACCCTGCCTTTGACTCGTGCGGTATGTGAACTGAGCTTATTGCATCCATAAAATACGAACTGGAAAACATTACACAAACTCTAAAATATCCAAATGCTGCCGATGTGGTTCCAATGGTTGTAAATGTTCGCAGCCCATAGGGTTGCGTTTATATACCTGAGTCATTTTCATCTTGGTTCGTTACACCCAGACGTTCGTACGAGCTCAATGGTCATTGGAAGGGTGTTTAAAATTGCAGGCAGGGGCTTCTAAGGGGGCGGGCAGTCCTTGCAGGCGCAGTACCGATATTGGCCGTGGTCCTCGGAGAACAACAAAAGAGCGCGCGCCCCCCAAGGGCCTGGAACTTAGAATTTAGTCCACTTATCTCGCATAGAACGGCACTTTGAATAGAACTTGCATACGTTGTATTCAAATACAAAGTACGCACTTTCTATTCGAATTCCAAAAAGGAAAAGATCTTGTATTCGAATAGAACATTGCCTTCCCCGGTCACTGACAGGCTGCATGCTGCAGGGCTCTGTCTCTCTCTCACCCCCCCCCGCCACACACGCACACGCACACACACATTCACTCTCACATACACAGACACTCTTTTTTTTTTTTTTTTTTTTTTTTTTTGTTTGTGTGTGTGTGTGTGTGTGTGTGTGTGTGTGTGT